GCCATTGCGTCAGTTTACTGTCAGTAGTCCATCGTACGTGTGGACAAGTATATCGGCGGCACGAGAATTATTACTGCTGGGAGTTAGCAAGAAGATACATTCGGGATATGAGGTGAGAGTTTGGGAGGATCAATGGATTCCTACAGTTCCAGCGAGATCAACGTCTCCATTTGCTCCGGTTTTGAATCCGAATACGAGAGTGAGTGACCTTATTAATCAAGAACAAAAAATCTTGGGATGTGGATTGGCTCACAAACTACGTAGATGCTGCTGACATACCTCTCATAAGAAGTATGGCCATTAGTTCAACACATCGCAGGGACACGTATTGCTGGAGCAATACAAGAAATAGACAATACACAGTCAAATCTGGATATTGGGTTGCACGGAACATTTTGATGAAGGAAAATGAAGCTGTAGTTTGCGAACCTAGTTTCACAAAACTCCAAGCACACGCTTGGAAGGTCAAGGCACCCAAAAAGATATGTCATCTTATGTGGCAAATAATAGCAGGTCATGTGGCTGTTACTAGTACTCTGAACTATAGACATATGAGATGTGATAATCATTGTCCATGATGTGGGGAACCAGATGAATCAGTTACACATGCAATCTTCCAGTGTCCACCTGCGATGAAAGTTTGGGCCTTATCATCTACACCTACCAGCCCTACACTGTTTCCACTACAGAGCACATATGGGAATATGGACTATCTCTTCTGGAGAAAAAAATGCCATAATGGAATCAGAATTGGACAGGGATCCTTATCTCTGGTTAGTTTGGTATATTTGGAAGGATCGGAACGATAAGCTGTTCAGAGGAATTGATAGAGATCCTTTGAAATTAGTTCGTTATGCGGAGAGTGAATGTCAAACCTGGTTCCAAGCCAACAAACAGACTATAGCTCCATCTCAAGGAAACATAGATGATGGAAGCCATGCCATAAGTCTGGGAAACATTTTTATGGTAGACGGTTCTTGGACCTCTACAGCTCATTTCAGTGGATGTGGTTGGATTTGGAATGACAGATGGGGAATAGTTAGTTGATGGTTATGCGTAACTTCAGTAGAGTGGAGTCCGCTTTACATTCTGAGCTTGAAGCACTGCGGTTGACAATGGAGAATATGCTTCAACATTCGCCATGTCAGAGCTTTGGGATGAACTGCAACGAGATAATATCGATGATCAGGAATCCCCATGATTGGCCAAACTTCTCAACGGAACTAGAAAAGCTCATTACACTGCGGATTTGCTTCCCAGATTTCAAGATCTTCTATGTTTCTAGAATTCCGAATGTTGTTTCTGATTCTTTAGGTAGAACTGCTCGATCCTTCTATCGAGAATTCTTGTATGTTGGTTGTTCTATTCCGGTCTGGATTCCCAGATCACTTCAAGCTTGAGTAATAGATCAATGTTTGGATGTCAAAAAAAAATTATTATTAAAATGTTTAAATTAGTCAATGAATGTATAACAGAGATTCATGCAGATCTTGTTTGTGTGTTAGAAGCATTTATGACCGTAGGAAACTTCGTTGTTATCTTTTCAGATTTATAACTATAGTAAGTCGTCTTCTGATATTTTGGGGACACAAACTCGAAAAGTCTTGTTTGAATATTCAAATGTGATAGCATTTGGTAAGTATTGTTGTGCATATCATCCCTTTCTATCATAATTTTTTGTACGTCTTAAACTTCTTTTATGAAATTTGATACACTATGTTACATCTTCTAGACTTCAACTACCAAACCGGCACAAAAACTTAAGGTACTTTGCTTGGAAATTGCATCATACATAGTTACATTTAACTAAAGTTGAACTGGCTATTGTTGATCATGTAAACAGTCCCTGATCTGGATTGAGTCTTCGCAGTTGTCTCTCTTTCTATCAGCAATGTTCATCTCATTCCCATGGTGTCACTTTCTTTGCATCTTTGCATAGTCGGCTGAGTTATAGTTGGAGAATATATAGTTTCTGCCCTCCTAAATATTTTTTTTTGCCTTCCACTGTGGTTAAAGAATTCAAAACTCAAAAGGGTTAGCTATTTTATCTCCAGGCTAGCTAGCTGCAACTGTATTGTGGATGTGTCAATATTGCCTTCTAACTCAGATGTACATGTTGAAACAAGCTCGTGAAAGGCGTGCATGAAGCTCTTCAAGTCCCAACGGGGTGGTTCCAACTCATTAGTAGAGTGAATTCTGTGGAACAATGAATTAACTTTATCATCTCTAGTGACTAGTGTAGAGGCCTATCTCTAGTTTAAAAAGCCGGATTGAACCTGAAATATTAAAGACATCACCAAGATCTAATACCACTTAATTATT